TTACTCATGTAGTCTTTGAGGTTCTTGAATGCCTCAGTACATTCATCAGTCCATGTAATGTACTTCTTACTTCCCTTAAATGCTTTGAAGAAATGAGCACATCTGTCTATGGCCTTAGAGATGAACCTAGTTAAGGCTGCCACTTTGCCAGTAAGGCTTTGGATGTCTTTTGAAGTTACCGGTTCCTTCATGTCGATGATTGCTTTGATCTTCTCGGGATTAGCCTCAATGCCTCGTTGGCTTATCATGAAGCCTAAGAATTTGCCAGAGCCTATGCCGAAGGCACATTTGTTGGGGTTCAACCTCATTCAATAACTCTTCAGAATGGTGAAAGTTTCAGATAGGTTGGTGATGTGTTGGTCAGCATGTTTGCTCTTGACTAGCATATCATCAACGTAAACTTCCATGCTCTTCCCAATCTGTTCGGCGAACATTGAATTGACCAGTCTCTGATAAGTTGCTTCTGCATTCTTTAGGCCGAAGCGTATGACTATATAGCAATATTGTTCCCTGTCAGTAGTGAAGGCTGTGTGTTCTTGGTCCGGAGGGTTCATAAAGATTTGGTTGTATCCTGAGTAAGCAACCATGAAGCTCAAAAGTTCACAACCTGCTGTAGAGTCTATAAGTCTGTCTATGAGAGGAAGAGGAAAGCTATCCTTCGAGCATCCTTTGTTTAGGTTGGTGTAATCAACACACATTCTCCATAAGACCTTTTGGAGCAGGAGACTTTCCTTGTTCGGATTCTTCTTAACAAAGACAACATTTGCTACCCACGTTGGATTATTGACTTCACGGACGAAGCCTATGCCTTTGAGTTTTTCAACTTCTGCCTTCATTACCTTGTACCCTTCAGCGTCATAAGATCTTCACTTCTGTCTCACTGGCTTGGTCTTGGGGTCAATACTTAAGCGATGACAGATGATATCAGGAAAGATGCCTGGCATGTCCTCATATGACCAGGTGAAGACCTCAGTGTTCTCTTGCAAAAAAGAGATCAATGCCAACCGAATGGGTGGTGACAAGGTGGTGCCAATCTTCACCATGTGATCCGAATAATCTTTTGAGATAGAGACATTCTCCAACTCTTCAGCGGGTTATGCTTGCTGGGTGAAAGAGTCATCTCGAGGATCGTCGGGTTAACTATTGCCACCGTGAAGATCCAAGTTGGCTTCGTCTGGGCTAGTCTTTATGACTTGGTCATGTATAGAAAAGGTTTCCTTAGGCACAAGCAGGTGCTGTTACTTGACCGAAGTGTTGTAACATGATCGTGCACTAAGTTGATCTCCTCTGATGTAACCATTGCCATAGGGGGTTGGAAATTTCATCAACAACATACGTGTGGATACCATGGCTTTGAGATCATTGATGCCTGTGCGTTTGAAGATGACATTGTATACCATTGGGCAATCAACCACTAGGAAGTTAGTGGTAATGGTAGCTATGTAAGGGTATGTACCAATGGTGAAAGGTAACTGTATGCTCCCCAAAGGTTGCACGATATCACTGGAGAAGCTTATCAGAGGGGAAATCGAGCGATCGAGCAAGTGTTCAGCTACATTAAGTGCCCTGAAAGCTTCAGCAAACATGATATTGAACAAAACCTCCGTGTCTACCAGTATTTGTCGTACTTCAAAGTTGGCTATGTGAGCTTCCACAATCAGTGGGTCCTTATGAAGGTAGATGATACCTCTTTCTTCCTCAGGGTAGAAACATATTGGATCCCAGCTAGGCTTTTGATACTTACCTCCCCTAATGTCTTCCACGTGAAACACTTGGTGGCCAGACCTTAAAGCTCATTCACTATTTTTCATGGTCCTGTTAGAAGATTTAGATATGGGTGTGCCACCACTTATGGAATATATCACATTCACGTAGCATTGGTTATAGTTACCCCTTTGAGGGTGAAAGAGGAATTGATCAATTTTTCCTTCACGTGCTAAAGCTTCAATATGATCATGAAGGGTGATACACTTCTCGCCGTCATAGCCGTTATGCTCGTGGTAACAGCAAAACGTGCCTGTGTTCTTCATGGGCTTGTAATCCGAGTGCCTCGGCTTTGGCTTCAGTATCAGGTGTGCTATGCTGGGGTAAATGGCCACGTATGTGGTGTTCAAAGGTGTGTATGCCTCATACCTCGGGATAGAGGGTATCCTGACACGTGTTTGACCCACTATGTTGACTGCCTATAGTCGGGGATTATCATGGCGGTACCCTTGGTTATCACGGTAGTGTCCCTTACTCCTTTTACTAAAATGAAACTGGTGAGGATGGAAATCTTTCCTTTTACCCTGAGATTGATATGTTTGTTAACTTGGCAAAGTATTAAGTAAGGCAGAGGAATGCACCGTTGCTGTTTGGAAGGTCGAGGTCTTCTGATTTGGTTAGATCTGGCTTCCACTCTCTACTTGCTGATAAGGGGGGGTTGTGGAGGGGTTTCCCTTAATATGTCCTTGCCTCGGTGGAGGCATGGTTGTAATCATGTGCCATCACCTCAAAGTAAGTCTTCCAAATGTTGGCATTGATCATATACTTGAAGAAACAATTACGTAGGCCTGCCGTGAAGGCCTTGAGGGCAGTCTTGTCATCTGCCTCAGCGCAGCGAGAATACTCATGGCTGAAACGACCGGCATATTCTCATACTGACTCGTCCGGCTTCTGGCGAATAATGTACAAGTCATTTACAGAATGCGAATGATCGGTCTGGAAGATGTGTTGAGAGACAAACAGTTTCCTCAGTTCCTCAAATGAGTCTACTGTCTCAGGTGGAAGACAGCAATACCAGTTTAGAGCTTCACCAGAAAGGGTGAAAGGGAAGAGAAGACATCGCTCTTCGTCGGTGTGCATTCGATATGCCATCGTGGACTCAAAGAGGTTAAAGTGTTCAATTGGGTCCTCCCTTCCAGTATAGAGTTGTAAACCAAGCTTTTATTTTGTCTTCACTTGAAGGAAGGTGTCGAGGATCCTCCTTGTAAGAGGGCCAGGCCTAGGTTGGTTCTAATCAGGTATCTCAGCTTGTCGTTCGGCCTTCAATTTGTTTACTTCCTAAAGAAGTTGTAGGACAAGAAGGTTCTGAGTGGAGTCATGTACCACTGGAGCTTTCTTTCGTAAATCTCCATATCCTCTTGGAAGTATGAAAGTTTGATCAAGAGCATGTGATTTTTCCCTGGACTCGCTATACTGACTTCCAAGGTATGTCTGTCGGAACATCTCTGAGTTCCCTATACCTTCGTGTTTCTCTAAGACTTGTTGTCCCTTCCCCAAATTGGTAGCCAGCCTGGTACATGGGAGGGGACCGAGTCTTTCAGAGACCCTTGGGTCATTGATCTTCGAGCTTACATAGATGGGATTGCCTAGATGTTGCTTTAGGAAATCTCGACAGTCGCGAAAAACGGCTTTTGATCCTTCCATTCCTTCTGTAAGGAGGTGTCTTCCTCCACTTCTCCTACTTCGGGTTGAAGCAGCTGGGTTGAGAAAAGTCTCATGTTGATCAATGTTTTGATGATTAGCTCGCTCCTCATCAGGGATACCCATGTCGAAAGAAGGCGACCTTTCGTGTTGGGGGGCACCCAGATGATGGTTGATGTCCACAAGGGTAACGAGCTCGCGTGTTTGAGTACACCTAGTTTCGTGGAGCGTCTCAAAGAGCTTCTCATACTGATCCTGGAGAACCTCATTCTTTATTGCTATCTTGTTGTTTTGAGCTTTTAGCTCATCGACTTTAGCTTGAAGAGCAACCTTCTTTCCTTCATTCTTTCGTTGCCTCGCACCAAGTGCAAGAGGGGTGTCATTCTGCGTGCTGTGGTTTCCTTCGCTCCCCATGTTGGAGAGGGATGCCTGGTCAAAAGAGAGTGTACAAATGGTGGAAACCAGCTTAACAAAGCTGAAGAGAGTGGGAATAAGTGTCGTTCCCACAGACGGCACCAAATGTTGATGCACAAAATCAGCGATGACTTTGGTACAACAGAAAGTGTTAAGTTTGTGACCTTCGCTAGATTGCTCCGGTCACTAGTGTGGATAAGTATGTAAATGGATAAGGACAAATAAGCAAACACAAGATGTACGTGGTTCACCTAGATTGGCTACGTCCACGGAGTAGAGGAGTTCTCATTAATTGTGAAGGGTTTACACAAAGTACATTGATTCAAGCTCTCCTTTAGTAAGTACAAGTGAATGATTTAGTACAAATAACTTTAGGAAATATTGTGAAAGAATGATCTCTATTTATAGAAAAGAGTTTCTAGTTTCATTCTGACATTGACACGTGTCGTGTTATGATTGGCTTCTGATGTTGACATGTGTCGCGCTATGATTGGCTTCTGATGTCAACACGTGTCAAAGTACATAGGTTCAAGCTCTCCTTTAGTGAGTACTAGTGAATGATTTAGTACAAATAATATTAGGAAATATTGTGAGAGAATGATCTCTATTTATATAAGAGAGTTTCTAGTTTCATTCTGACATTGACACATTCACCCACAGTTTAGCTTAGGGGTGGTTCGGTATGGGATCCCATACCGAAACCCTTGTCCCGATTCCCATACCGAAATTTTCGGGAATCCCAATTTCAATACCGATCCCAAACCAAATTTTCGGGAATCCCAATTTTCGGGAATCCCGAAATAGTTTCGGGATTTCGGGACAAATCGGGAATCCCGAAATAATTTTGGGCTTTTGGGCTTTTGGACAAAAAAAGCTAATATTGGTCCAATTGATGAACTGGATAAGCATTCCACGCAGAAGAAATGGATTGACATTTAGTAGTAAACAATATCGGCACCAACAATCTCAGACATGCTTGCATTTACAAATACAATTAAAATATCACAACAAACAAATGAGAGCACAATGATGAAGGACAATGCACAACAATGGCACTTGGTAGTGGTACCATGATAATCTCAGGGGTTTAACAAAATGTGGGATAGGACAATGCACATCAGACCACTGACCCAGAGATCTTCAATGCGTCCAGCCTCTCTCTTGTTCCACAGTAGGTCATGCGAAGAAATCCGTCTTCATCCTTGTTTTTCTCATCAATCGCAGACATCAAGGTTCCTGTAACAACATTGGAGGAATTACTGAGAGGTATTAAATCCACCACTAATTTGGGCACAAGATGGATATTATCAAGTGGCATAAAACAAAAATGAGTTGAAGCTCTCCTCACCATTGGGATGTTCAGTGTTCTTGAAATAGACAAACAAAGGATCTTTAGATGCAACCTTTGTCTGAAGATACCCAACAAACTCCTCAAGAGTGACATCACGTGGACTTGGTATCTGCAGTCAAAAAACACAGGAGACACAATAAAACTACATGAGAACCCCTTCTTATAAGACCAACTCTTATATATCTCCCTTCTTTTTTCATTCGATTTCGTTAACATATGAAATACCAAGAGCATGCACGAAAACGGGGGCAATACAAATCATGATAACCAAGGCAAAAAGGAACCGGAAACTAACTTCTTTGCATCAAGTTCAGGAAGGCCACTGCTTCCATCCTTCTCCACAATCACCTGCAGGAATGCTCGTATTAGAACATGGTATAGCCCTGTCTTAATAAGCATAACTGATGTGCAGTGAAATTCTCACCGGTACATGAGACGGATACCACTGCCTCATTTTCTTAGCATCTGAAATACGTCGTTCCAGCACCTCCAAAGTACCCCTGAACATTTGTCAAAAACATTGATGATAAATCAGCAATCCCATTCCACTGTAGCAAATACCAATCAAGAGAGGAGAACTAAAGCGCAAGGGAGGGACTGGGCAACTAACTTTGTAAAATCATTGAAAATTCCAAGCTTCTCCGCGATCACGTGCATAGAGGCTCAAATTAGAACAGAGTGTATCCACTGAAAGTGTGGGGCGTAAACTTACTTAATTCAGCTTAAATTCTTACCTCATCAAATGAGCGTTTTAAAGCATTCCTATCGTCTAACTCTTTAATCCTCTGCAAGAAGGCTCAAATTACAACAGGGAATATCCACTGAATGACTAGGAAGTACATGTGTCTGATTCACTGAAATTCTTACTGGTATATCACCGGATCGAAAGACTACTCCTTCCTTTTTCCAATCTGCACTGTAGGTCACGCGAAGAAATCCATCATCGTCCTTGTTTTTCTCATCGATAGCAGACATCAAGGCTCCTGTAACAACATTGGAAGAATTAGAGTCATGGCAACCGTAGACAATCTGGGATCAAGATGGATATTATCAGGCTGACCTAAAACAAGAATGAATTGCAGCACCGCTCACCAGTTTCGGGGACTGTGTTCTTGAAATAGACATAGATAGGCCATTCTGGTTCAAAATGAGACCGTGAGAGAGATCCCCAGTTCTGTCCGTGAGAGAGAACCCTCGAATCAATGCAGTTTTGTGACCGTGAGAGAGAGAGATCGCGAGAGAGAGTGGTGGTTGTGTGGTGAAGGAAGGCTGGAGAGTCAGAGACGAGAGTATGGTGTGGTGGTGGGCCGGTGGCTGGTCGGAATTCGACAGTCTGGTGAGGGACGACGTTGGTGAGCGCCGGAGGCTAAGGGTCAGGGGGCTGCACTTCGAAACAAATGAACGGAGGAACTGAAATGTGATTTGACCTAAAAACAAATCAACGGCACAGATTAAATCCAAAACAATCAACGGTTAAAATAATTCTCTTATAATTAAAAAATTATATATATATATATATTTTTTTTTCGGTTCGGTATGGGAATACCGAAAAAATGAAATGCAATACCGAATCCCATACCCAAACTTTCGGTTTGGTTTGGGATTACATCCCGAAAATTTCGGGAATTTTGGTTTGGGATTTTTTTGGTTTGGGATCGGGATTTTTTTAGTTTGGTTTGGGATTTTTGGGATTTTTTTCCAGCCCTAGTTTAGCTACATTAAGTGCCCTGAAAGCTTCAGCAAACATGATATTGACCCGAATCTCAAGAGCCAGACTCCTAACAGGATTACTTTCTCAAAAATCGAAGAGACACTGCTCTTCGAATCTCAAGAGTCGTACTCCCAACATGATTGCTTTCTCAAAAATCGAAGAGGCACCGTTCTCTGAATCTCGAGAGCCAGATCCCCGACAAGATTGCTTGCTCAAAAATCAAAGAGGCACCGCTCTCTGAAGCTCGAAAGCCAGACTCCCAACAGGATTACTTGCTCAAAAATAAAAAATGCACCACCCTCCGAATCTCGAGAGCCAGACTCCCAACAGAATTGCTTTCTCAAAAATCGAAGATGCACCGTTCTCCGAATCTCGAGAGCCAGATCCCCGACAGGATTGCTTGTTAGAAAACCGAAGAGGCACCACTCTCCAAACTTCGAGAGCTAGATTTCCTTGGATAAAGCTTGTCTGCAATCTTCACACGCAACATCAGCTTTCCAAATACCACAGACCACTTTTTCAAAGTGCTCTGACAAAATTAAAACACGTGAATCTTGCAGCTCTCACTACATTGCTATGACCGAGAAAGGTAAAAGAACAGCGTTACCACTCGCTGTTGGGATAATTCCTATATATGTCGACCTTCATCCTCCACAGCTAGGCAAACCTACAAATAAAAAAAATGCTTAACTTTTCTTCACATCCGAAAGGGCATTCTCAGCAGAGTCTCTCGAAATACTCAGCTTCTTTTCCCCTGATATACCTCTGCAAACAAGCCACACCAGAGCAAGAGTATCTCATATCATCAGGGTTAAAAGCAAGAGTATCCCATATCATGCTTTTTCTCTGTCTTTTCCTTTGGCCTTGTTCTTACCTGCAAGACAAGGAGAAATAGAGCAATCAGTCAGCACTTGAAATCAAGCTTCCAGTCAGGAACTGACGGCCTGGAACCCCTTGCCTGATTACTTACCTGGCATTGCTCTCGAGTACTCATCTTCAACATCTTATGCTTCCAGAGAAGATACCACATCTGCCTGAGGAACAGATAGGGCAAGTAAGAAGGATACAAGGAAGCATGTGGAGACAAGCGTAATAGAACACGTGCCAATGCATCCACTACTTTATTAACAGCAAAAGTATCCCATATCATCAGGGTCGAACGTACTCTAGATTTGATGGACTTGTTTTGACCTTCAAATTCTTGAGTCGGCCTTATACTCTAGAGGAAACCAGAAAACCCTCCAGTCCAGTTCAAGAATAAGCCTGTGGAAAGTTACTTCTTCAAAAGCAAAAGTATCTCATATCATCTCTTCTCCATTTGCCTCTCCTTATCCTTGTTGCTGTTTACGACACAAGGAGAATGAGAACAATCAACCGAAAGCCGAAGTCGAACCTCCGATCCAGGTTGCTTGCTTTGAAGTCTGATTGCTTACCTTGTATGTCACCTTATTCAGCAAATCTCCTAGCTCGGCGACTTGGGGGACTCCTACTATAGGGTTTGTATTGCACTTGACCAAGCCCGAAACTACAAGTAAGTTTCAAGTGAAATTAATACATTACCTTGTGCATCTTCATTGGTTAAAGATACCACCCCTGGATGGAGGAAAAGTACTTCCAGAGAAGATGCCACATCTACATATGAGACAGATAAGACAAGTGAAAATGATACCACACTTCGGTACTTAGAAGTTTCGTGATTACTCAATGGCTTGGATCTTGCAAATCCCTAACCGAGGAGCTTCCCTTACTCGGGAACTTAGGGGAGCACTGTTTGTACCATACTTGACCAACCCCAAAACTACTAAGCATCGGTCAACATTATACCGCCAAGGACCCATAAGAGTCTCCCTTCAACCAGGAGGCCAATCACAATGCGACACATGTCAACATCAGAGGCCAATCATAACGCGACACGTGCCGACATCAGAGGCCAATCACAGCACGACATGTGTCAATATCAGAATGAAACTAGAAACTCTCTTCTATAATAGAGATCATTCTCTCATAATATTTCCTAATGTCATTTGTACTAAATCATTCACTAGTACTCACTAAAAGAGAGCTTGAACCTATGTACTTGTGTAAACCCTTCACAATTAATAAGAACTCCTCTACTCCGTGGACATAGCCAATCGGGGTGAACCACGTACATCTTGTGTTTGCTTCCCTGTCTCTATCCATTTACATACTTATCCACACTAGTGACCGGAGCAATCTAGCGAAGGTCACAAACTTAACATTTTCTGTTGTACCAAAGTCCCCACTGATTTTGTGCATCAACATATACTATAGGGTCAATCGCCAAAATGGTCATTGAGATTTGCATAACTCATAAATTTGGTCTCTAAGATTCCAAATCAATAAAAGTGGTCCTTGAGATTGTTCACCATCCATCATTTTGGTCTTTCCGTTAAAAACTCTGTTAAGTGTCCTGAAGCTCTTGGCCGGAAGTTTGGGCAATTTTCAAAGCTTCATAACTCAATCGTTTCTTAACCAAATTCAACCCATAATATATCAAAATGAAGATAGGAAAGTGTAGAATAAGATTATATCTATTTTGAAGCCCAATGGTTGCCGAAGATTGCGGGAAAATAGCCTCAAAGTTGACTGGTCCGAGTGAAAACTTGAAAACTCGCTGGAAACTGGGTAAAATTTAAACGTTCATAACTTCTTCAATACTCAACAAAATCAAGTGATTCAAAAATAAAAATGGCTCGAAAGTGGCTCAAAAGTGACTAACTAGTCGTGGTTTTGCCGGAAAATGGCTCGAAAGTGACTAACTCGAGACCATGACAGCCACTTTCGAGCCTTTTTCCGACCAAAACACGACGAGTTAGCCGTATAAAAAGATACCATTCTCTTCATCTAGTCGAGAAGTATAATTTTCGTTTTTGAATCACTTGATTTCGTTGCGTATTGAAGAAGTTATGAATGTTTAAAGTTTACCCAGTTTCCGGTGAGTTTTCAAGTTTTCATTCGGACCAGTCAACTTTGAGGCTATTTTCCGGTAATCTCCGGCAACCATTGGGCTTTGAAATAGGTATAATCTTATTCTACACTTTTCTATCTTCATTTTGATATATTATGAGTTGAATTTGGTTAAGAAACGATTGAGTTACAAAGCTTTGAAAATTTCCCAAACTTCCGACCAAAAGCTCCGGGACACTTAACGGAGTTTTTAACGGAATGACCAAAATGATGGATGGTGGACAATCTCAGGGACCACTTTTATCGATTTGGAATCTTAGGGACCAAAGTGATGAGTTATGCAAATCTTAGGGACCATTTTGGCAATTTACCCTATAGTATATAACTCCTCTTTAGAAATTCTGGTCTGATCCTAAAAGAACATATTGATATCTTGTTTCCGATATAATTTTTCCCAAAATCACCAACATCAAGTATAGTGGTATTCCTCTTCACTTATAAATAAGAAGTCTTATATTCGATTCTCGTCAAAGACGAATTTGAACCACATTATTGTTAGCAGATTAAGCCCACCTCCTCCTCTTAGTATAAATAATATCGTTTGTTAAAAAAAATATAATATTTTTCTACTATATTGCTTCTGGTCGAATATCTGACTCCGCCTATCACTTTATTATGCTTCCATCATCTCTTTCAAGAAGCCGCACGTAGTATAGTTTAGCACTCTTGTGTTTGAGAAATTTTTAATTATGCCCAAGATATGAGTAGTGCACTATGTATCATTATATATAAGTGGTGGGATATTCTATATTTTAAATTGTTAATTTTTTAAGACAAGTACGTCACCATTTATATATGGTGTGATCTACTATCACATATTCCAAATCTCTCTTTTGTACCTATTGAACACTAGCCTACGTGCTTGGTATACAATTTTCAATTATTCAGCGCCTCTGACTCCGACTCTGAGGGTCACTTCGAAAAGTGTCTCTTTCTTCCTTCGCTTTCATCAGCGATCACTGCACTCTTGGATGGCGCCCTCTAAGCTTTTACTCTTCTCCGTATTCTTAGCCCTATCGTTCACCGGAATTACGGCGTACCCACCCCCTCCAGACGACGGCGCTTCTGATTCTGCTCAGGAGGTTGCAGATTCGTCTCTGGCACTCCAACTTCAGCAACTCAAGTCCAGAGTTTCACTTCTAGGTGACCATTTTCAAAGTTTTAGGCTTTGTCATTGCAATCATCATATATATATATATATATATATATATATATATTATGAATATTGAATGGGCATTGAGTGTATAGTAAATTTGCAATTCCATACATTAGAATTTTAAATGGCATTGGGTTTGTAATATGGTTTTAATTCCCTTTATTTTTGTAATTAATGATCATATGTTCTGTTTATTTGTACTTGGATTGTAGGAAAATAAACTTTATTTGACTAATTGGGATTTGAAAATGTGAATCGATTTGTTGAGCATATGGGTAGAGGTACAGTTTTTCGTTTTCTGGAAACCAATTCGAAAATGCAGATTGATCAGTTAGTTTCATTCGGTTTTTCAGAGCCCGAAAGAGGTGAAGAAATTGTTTTTAGTACGAGTGAGTTCTACATTGCCTCATCTGCATACATTCCGTTATATTTCTAGTGTCACTGGATAGTATGTCTTAGACTCCCTTCCCTTTTGGACTGAGATAGTGTCTCTTACAAAAAATAAGACTGACTACAGAACCCGATTGATTGATAATGTAGTAAGTGCAGTAACTTGACCCCTTGTTATTATACATGATTGGCTGATGTTTTACATCACTATTTTGTCTGTTTTAGTGACGTTGGTATTCTCATGTTGTTGAAGAATCAAGCATTGATGACAAAAACTGTGAGCTGAGAAAAAAGGATGAAAGTATTAAACTGATGGAGAAGGTTATTCAAGAGAAATCAAATAGCATTGCTTTGTTACAAAGTGCTATAGAGTCTGTCCAGGTAAGGGTTTTATTTTTAAAATGTTTTTCAGTTCAATGCAAAATATTTCTCTGATACCGTATAGTTCAGTTCATTGAGGTGTTAAATCATGAAGCCACGGTTTGGTTCCCATGGTATGTAAAGTGATTGAGACATTTTTTTTCTTAGTGGAAATATATGTTTTTGAGAAGTATTTCGTTGTTAACAATATTCAGCCTTGACTGGAGGGTCCATTTCTGTTTTACTCATCCTTTTTAGTCAACAACTGGAGTGTATAAATGTATTAGACTTTGTGAAGCTCCATTATGTCTCTATGTAAACAATCTGCCTCAACCCCATTTGAAAAGATAAGGGTTGATCTGTTCCTTTGTATTTTGGGTAGGGAAGTGAACCTTTAGATGTTGTTGAGCTTGGAGATAAACCACATGTGCAGGCTGGTGGGCTTGAGAAGCAGGTTATTTTTCCAAAACCTATACCTAACATGAGTTTCATGCTGTCTTCATGAAAGGTTAAAAGACTTAGAGAGGACATTGCTGTGCAAAATAAGAAAAGAGATGAACTGGAAGCCCAAGCAAGTGTAGCTGAGCAGAAAATTCAGGAACTGAGTATAAAATTAGAAAATGTAAACTAACCGTGCTTATTTCTTGTTTCTTGGAAGGCCTATATTACTGTTTCTGATTGAGTAGTTATATTGTTTTTATTCTGTAACTGTTGTTTTCCTTTTCTAGAAAACAGATGGTTTGGTGCTTATAAATTCACCCTTCTGATGGAATCAGATTTACTGATAGTATTGGACTATTCGTGCAATTATCACATCTAATTTAGCTTGTCCATATATGGTGAAATTATTGGCCCATATTACAGTTTTTAGTTATAGCTGAAAAAAAGGTTTGTATTGCGCCAAACAGATAATCTTAACTGCCAACCTTTGATACAAATCAAAGGAAACTAACGAGTAGCCAGTAGTCAATACCATCTCCATAATCTTATAAATTAAGCCAAAATTCAGAGCTATCTTATTTGAAGTGATGCTAGTCTGCGATCAAGGTCCTATATGGCATAGTGTATACTGATAAACAGCTATTGACACATCAAATGTAGAAGTTGTTTTCTCGTAGGATTTGGTGTTATTTTGAATTGTTTTGATTAGTTCTGAAAGCTTTTAAATATCTGTGGAGTTGTAGATCAGATATCCCTTCATTTGTGGAGTTCTGCGATCAAAGTCCTACATGGTGCATACAAGTAGACAATCTGTAATCAAGTTTAATTTTCCGTGGGTGCAAAATTTCTTTGTGAAAGCGGACTTTAGTGTAATTTAATTGCCAATTTAATCTCTCTTTCTATTCTTTTTCAGCTTCAAAAGGTAAATGATGAACAGAAGACTGGAATTCAGAAAACTGAACATGATCTTCAAGTTGCAGAGGTTTGTTGTCCGTTTATGCTACCTGAAACTATCAATTGCTACATGGTATTAATTTTTTTGATATCTCAGGAAGAAATAGTGAAGGAGAAGTTTGGGATTTCTTCAATATCTGAAGATTTGACTGAGGTAAGGAAATGGTAATGCTATAATTTTCTAATGCCTGCTGTTGTTGGCAACGTTGTTGTTATCACTTTAGGTTTAATTCTTGTGGCTTTACCTCTTTTAGTGAGACCAGTCAATTAGTAAATTTATCAATTGCCTAAAGGTGGATTCTGTTATGTCTCTTATTAATAATTAATCATATGCAAACTTTTAAGCTTGAATAACAGTGAAGCGTATCATGTTCTTGTTACCATTTACAAGTACATTAAAATTAAGTTCACCATACTGCCAATAGTAAAATCCTGTTGACCCATGATCAGGTCCATGGAGGATGGCTTCCACATACATTTGGAGTTCATGTAGACTATTTTTAGGTAAAGCCATGCAGATTAGTTGGATAACAATGTCAGTCTAATTTCATGACAAAGTATTTATGTGCAGACGTACATTGTGACTTACTGGAACGAGCTTGGAAGACCAGCCTTCAATCTGGGAATTGAAAAGGTGTGTCTGTGATATTCCAAACTTTATTTGTTACACTTCTCCAATAAAGATGTTCACTTGCCAGGTAAATAAACTGGAATAGCCAAGTATTCATTTATTTGTTTGTCCTCAGGCCTTAAAAATGAAAGCTCGTGGTGAGGGTTGGACTGAGATCATCGTCGAAAGAATCAGAACAGTACGTTATCCCCAGCTCTTCTTCATATAATACAAAATACAAAGTGGGACACAAGTTGCGTTTTATGATATTAAGTGGCACATTTTGAGTTTCAAAACTCGAGTTCTGAAGAGGAGCATAAAGCAGCAAGAGTGTATCTTACTAATAATTAAAATTTTGAAGTTATTAGACTCAGCTTTGGTGTTTGACATCTTCCTCTTTTCTGAACAATTAGTGTACAGTCAACTTTTCTATTTGAGATATTGAACCAAGTTGGCAACCTTTCTAATTCTTCCTCTTTTAATTTGAAGAACTGGATCCCAAGGTTGAAGAAACAGTCTCTGGAATTTAAAGCCTATCTTGAACCAAACATTCGATTAGTCACTGCAAAAATTGTTGATGTATATCGGTCATCAAAGAGTTCTATAGGAACCCTTGTTTTGAAGGCACAAAATATGGCAGATCCTTACATTCAGGTAAGCCCCTCATGAGAACTTTTTAAATATATGGATTTGGTGGATGGAATTCTTTCTTATGGCATTTCTGTGTTGTGGCAGGAAGCTAAGAAATATACCGAGCCATACATTGATCGGGTTGCTATGGTGACTAAACCACATTTAGATAAATTACATATTGCCTTGAAGCCGTATACCAAAAAAGTACTAAATGCATATAGAAAAGTCATCACCACTACAACATTTTTGCATCATGAGGTATGAATTTCATACTTTATATTTATGTAAAACATTAGTACCGACGAATTCAATCAATTAATTTCGAAGCACGAGTGGAACATGCTATGCCTCTTGGACTTTTGAAAAATGTTGCATTTGGACATTATTTGACTCTGCTCACAGAACTTAAGGGAAAAAATATATATTCTTGGGAGGTGAGAACTTTGGTGAACGCATTTTTTTGAAAGGAGTCAAACGATGAAGAAGGAGCTGATTTGGCTTATTTGGATCCCAATTTTTGTCTATCTGTTCATTACAAAGAAAGTGTTGGAATCTAAAGGTCTTCACCTAAGTTGGTCAAAGACAAAGTATATGGAGTGCAAGTTCAGTGCAAATGGGGGCTCAAATGAGTTAGGGGTGAGGATTGGAGATCAGGAAGTACCAAAGAGCGACCGCTTTCGCTACCTACGATCTATCTTGGAAAAGTACGGAGAGTTGGATGGAGACCTCAACCATAGAATACAAGCTGGATGGATGAAGTGGAAGAGTGCATCCGGCGTGTTGTGTGACCATCGTATGCCAATGAAGCTCCAGGGAAAATTTTATAGGACGGCAATAAAGCTGGCAATGCTTTATGGCACGGAATGTTGGGCGGTGAGGCATCAACATGTACATAAAATGGGTGTAGTGGATAAGAGAATGCTTCGTTGGATGTGTTGGCACATGAGAAAGGATAAGATTAGGAATGAGGATATCCGAGATAAAGTAGGAGTAGCCGAAATTGAAGGAAAGAAGAGAGAAAATCGGTTATGGTGGTTTGGACATGTGAAACGAAGGCCTACTGACGCTCCGATTAGAAGATGCGATTACGGGACAGAGGTTCATGGTCGAAGGGGTAGAGGAAGACCTAGAAGGACTTTGGAAGAGATTCTAAGAAAAGACTTAGATTAACGGAAGACGTGACACAGAACCGAGCGCAATGGTGTTCTAGGATTCATATAGCCGACCCCACTTAGTGGGAAAAGGCTTTGTTATTGTTGTTGTTCATTACAGAGAAAACAGAGTAGAACAGTGCACAGATAAGCAAACATAAAAATCAAAGGGAGTGAATGCTTGCGTGATATACAATATTATTTCTTTTAGTAATCGCGTGTTTTTAATTTAAACTTATTGATCTGGTTTAAATAACAGTAATTCCGGTGACCTGCGGAAATGAGCAGGCAAATATTAGTCTCAGCACTTCTTTGTTTGTTTGGTTTCTTCCACATTGTTGCGTGCTAAAACACACTGTTTGTTGATGGCCAAATTTCATGGGCTTTTCATTTGTTTGAAAGCAGGGTACATCAGAATTGCTAATTTTCTGTTATGGGCAAAACCGCAAAAAATGAAAGGGCAATCATAAATTTGTATAGGAAAGGAAATCCAAATTCACGAGGAGTTGTGGAAATCTCAGTACTTACAAGTACCCCATATGAGCTTGAACGTTTTTTTTTTTTTTTTTTTTTTTTTTTTGTCAGTAACTTGGATTTTGCATTTATCTGGCACAGGTCAAAGAAATTCTAAAAAATAATGAGTTGACGCAACCTGTTGCAAGTATGGAACTGGCATGGTTTGCGGTATGTGCTCAAGTTGTATTCGGCTATCTGAAATATATCAAATTTCAATATGTAGCTGTCCTAACAGTTTTTCTTCTTCTTGTTCCCAATGTAGGCTACTGCATTACTTGCCCTGCCTGCAGTATTTCTGTTTAAGTTGTATTCGGCTACTTTAGGGTTAGTTTTATCCAGAGATCATCTTGTTTTAATAATACCAAATATATGGTTTCTTCTTTCCAATTCAACTATGATATCAGGTTTCAATTATGCAGAAAAAAGACAAAAAAGCGTAGTCATAGTTCCTATGCGAACCACACACGGCGTAGGCTGAAGCGTGCCCATCGTGCAAGTACATGAGGTAATTGGATGCTTTTTAAATACCTCATTTTTCTAGGAATACTTATCCACAAGTAGTTCTGAAATATTTGAGAATGGTTTGATGTCATACTTGGTCGCATTGCTATGGTTTTATGGTATAAAGCTTATTTGCGCAAGATATTTGTTTATACCATATTTAGGGCCTCCGTATTTAGACCTCGTATAAATACTCGGGAGACTTAAATGTAATTATGTAATAAAGGAAGGGGCAAATATGTAATAAGTGATGAGCCCTTATTCTATAAAAGGACCCCTCACCCTCACAATTAGGGGAGGCCATTTTCTTAGGCCATGGGAAGAGTTCTCTCACCCTTAGAAGCTCTCTCCCTCACTCCCCTCACCTCTCAGAGAAATACAATAATTAGTGTGGACGTAGCCCAAACATTGGTGAACCACGATACATCTTGTGTTATTTACTTTCTTGCAGATTTATGGTCGGGTTTACGTTGTTCCAAGACCTCCGGTTTTGTGCATCAACAATATTCAATCAAAGAATATTTCTTTTGTTTACTGGTAAAGCCGTGTATATCATTTTAATGCCTAATTTTTATGCACACGTGGGTCTACTAAACTTGCAGCTTGGTACTTTGGGGTGAAATCAATATTTGAGTTCAGGGGATCTAGCTGTGATAAGATTTCAGTTGACAATACATATGTTTAAAATAACAATAATCATTTCCCTTGATAAAATTCCAAAAGGTCTTGTCGGAATTGTCACTGATACACCAGCTCAAGGGAAATTGTATTCTGTTTCTTATAGTTCCTCATAGCCATTGTTTTATTACATTTCCAGTATAGATAGAAGGAATATGCATAATAACTAAGGTCTGCGCAGTTCTTGTGCATCTTCAGTAAATGTTAACTCAAAATTGTGATGGAGTAAATATTGGGAGATTAACACGATGCTTTTTTTCGGATGTTAACATTTCTCATGTTTGCGTCATTATATATTCAAGTTTGGTTTGGTTTTGATTGCAAAATATAGATGAGCATACTTATCCACGAGTAATTCTGAAATCTTTTAGAGAATGGTTTGATGTCATTTTTTGTCGCATAGCTATGGTTTTATGGTCTAAAGCTTATTTGCCCAAGATATTCAACAACAACAACAAAGCCTTATCCCACTAAGTTCAGTCGGCTATATGAATCCTAGAATGCGACTGCGCTTGGTTTTGCGCTGTCTTCCATAAGCTCCAAGTACTCCATGTCTTTTCTTAAAGTCTCTTTCCAAGTCTTCCTAGGTCTCCCTCTACCATTTTGCCATGAGCTGTCTCATAATTGCATTTTCTAAACGGAGCATCTGTAGGTCTTCTGTTCACAGGTCCAAACCACCTTAACCAATTTTCTCTCATCTTATCTACATTGTGGCCGCTCCTACTTTACTTCGGATATCCATGTTCTTAATCTGTCCTTTCTCGTGTGCCCACACATCCAACGAAGCATTCTCATCTCCACTACACTCATTTTTGGCAAGTGTTGATGGTTGACCGCTCGACATTCTGTGCCATAAATCATTGTTGGCCTTATCACCCAAGATATTCAATCAAAGAATATTTCTTTTGTTTTCTGGTAAAACCGTGTCTATGTATATCATTTTAACTCCTAATTTATGAGTTTTTGTCTATGGCTAAATAAAATTCCTGAGTATAATCAGCTAGTGTGTGTGAGTATGTGGATGTAAACTTTCAGCTTCGATACTTTAGGGTGAAATCGTTATTTGAGTTAAGGGGGCCTAGCTGTGATAAGATTCCACTTGGCAATACATACTTTTAAAATAACAGTAATCATTTCCCTTGCTAAAATTCCAAAAGGTTTCGTCAGAATTGTCACTTGTGTACCAGCTTCGGTTTCTTATTGTTCCTCATAGGCATTGTTTTAGTACCTTTCACTAAAGATAGACGAAATATGCGTAATAAGTAAGGTATGCGCAGTTCTTGTGCATATTCAGTAAATTTTAACTCAAATTGCGATGCAGCAAGATTGGGAGATTAACATGATGCTTTTTGTTTCGGATGTAAACGTTTCTCATGTTTGCCTCATTATATATTCAAAGCTTGTAGCGATTTCGTCAGTATCCTTCTTTTTATCTACTTGTTGAGGGAGCCTCACTTGATTTTGCCTTTGAATTACAAAATATAGGTCAGCATAGTTGGAAATTTTGATCCAAAGGGATGCTGATTCTGTTAGTAGCTTATACATCGATCGCTGTTACATGTGAAATTTTGTGATTGTAGTGACCATTTTGCATGTTTGATGCTTGAGTTTTACTTTTGAGGTACTTGATCATAACCTATTCTTACAGTGGCTTTCACTTACTGCAGATGGTAGAAAGTTTCCCGTTTATCTCAAAATCAAAGTTTCGTTGAAGTCGAGTGTCTTTCATCACTAGAATCAGATATGCTACATTAGAAATCATTACAGCAAATGAGGTTTATGGAATACATAGTTTTTCTCTTTTCTATGAATACATATTATTTTTCCATTGCAGATAGGTAATAAACCTTTATTTGATAGGTTTTTTGGTTAATTTATTGTGTCATCTATGAGATTTTATGATAATTTGTTGAGAATGAACAGCAAGTTTAAATCTCAACACCCGAAAAGTACGGGAATGTTTTTTTACAAACGTTTTTTCTTCTTCTGCGCACCCTTTATTTATTTATGTTCTTAGATTTTCTTTTCATTTCTTTAACCCAAAGGCCGTATAACATTATATTTTTTGGTAATTGGTAACGAAAATTCTCTTCACCACTTAAAAAGAAATTAATTTGCTATGTGTAGGATTACTTCATCTATTTTGGTAACGAAAACTCTGAAATTGGGCCCTCGATGACCATTCCTCATTTACATTCAGTCATTATGAAATTGTTAAAACAATATTTTATGATATCTTAATATTGAGCTGTTCACTCGATTTTCACCTCTTTTATGTCAAAGGAAAGAATTAAGTTGTTCACTCGATTCAAATATTGCAAGAGTATGCCTACAATGGTTATAGGTTGTTGTATCTTAGAGGGTAGGGCATCATAACTTGCTACACCGAGACATTGTCTTCAAGGGACGAAATATACTCTCAAGGACAGTAAACTTACACGTCTCAACCTAAAATCTCGTTCTAGTCAAGCATGGGTGAAGATCAATAGATTAAGGATAAGTAATTGTTGTTATTATATTAGTTTTATCGATTTTAAAATTTTTAAGTATAATAATATTTACTAATCATTATCTTAATAACATCAGTATTTCCAACAGTTGCATTAAATTGATCAATTCGACTGTAGAATGATTACATTGTCATAAGGTGTTACTAATACACCATGTGGTTGTGTTTATGTCATCATTAAAAAATTCCAATGTTAATCCGTATTAGATATTATTATAAAACTTGTATTAGTTAATTCATATGCTCAAATTCAATGTGAGATTAAACATTTGAAAGTATTAAGTAGCAAAATTTACGTTAATGTAATTAATTAAAAGTACTTATGAATTTAAAGAACTGATTATCTACAAAAAAACAGTATTGCCCTGCTATTAAACATGCTAATGATCATAAGCACTTCCAACAAAAACACTTTCAAACAAATCCATTGGCAGCTCAAAGAAATGCTAAAAAACGGTGGCATTCCTTACAGATGTAATCAAAAGATCCCCCCACAGAAAGATGCAAATCATATCGAAGAACCAACCAAATGGACAAACGATATAAACTAAAATACAACCCATCAACCCATTGGATTCAAATGCATAACTGAGATTAAAACATAAATACGCCTACATTTCGGACCAAAATTACTAACATTGTCATAGAACAAAATTGACAAACTAATATAAATCTAGTTACGATTGGCACAATCCGGGAGGAAAAACGCGAGCATTTTCTCTGTTAATACACCACTTTTCCTCCCATGTCTCATTCTTTTACTCAAGAGAACAAAAGACACAACGTAAACACTAACCCAAAACATTCTACGCAAACAAGGCCTTGTAAATTTAACGCAGAGGTAAATCACTCAGCAACCCCTAGCCACTTTGTAAAGTTGTCAAACTCGGTGTAGTCACTGTCTGAGATCATAGTTTTGTACCATGCCTTACCAGCGGCCTTAATGGCAGTAGCTTCCTCCTGTATAAAGAGAAAAAAACAACACATAAGGAAATTTTCGGATATCCTCAAATCTCATGAGACCGCACAAGAATAAGAAAGAAAAAGGCAATCGTAGTATGCGTAACTGATCAAAAAGCTTTAACCAAAAATGAAGGAGCAATTCTATTATGAAACAGTAATGACATTATTTCTAGAACGAAGTGGGATTGACAAATGAATATGGAAATCTTACAGAACAATGCAGCAACAAGAAGCATTTGACAACAAACATAATCAAGTTTCGAAGAAAGCAAACACCAATAAAATATGACCAACCTATTTCCTCGTACCAAAAAACAAACTACCAATCCTCACAATCATTAGTAGACCTGGCATTCGTGTCGTATTTTCTGTGTTCGTGTCGTTTTCGTGTCATACTCGATATCTTAACGGGTCGTGTAACACCCGTTAAAATAAACGGGTAAAATGACCCGACCTGAAATCGACCCGATAAAATTAACAGGTAATATGACCCGACCTATTACCCATTAAGGAAAATATATTTTAAACCAATAAATAATCAAATAAAAAACATAATACTATATAAGTATATACATACTATATTGTCACATTCAAAACATAAAAACATATTTTCTTTTAAATATATTTTCACTTACCTAAAGTCTTTAATGATATTTTAATTAATGTAGAAGTGTAAAAAAATATAGAAAAAAATATATAAACGCTCGTAATGACAAGTTTTACAACTTTCATAAAGAGCTTAACTTCAAAATTCGTCACTATAATCATATAAATCATAGATCAAAATTTAACTGTTAATTGTTTTTTTTCAAAATTGTTTTTTTTTGAAAACTTGATTTATCAGAGGATGCAGAAAGATGAACGGTTTGGATCGTTGATATTATATTCAGAGTTTTACAGTTAGTGAAAATATTGCTTGTTGTTTATAAAGTTTCTACAAACTATATGACATCTACTCATATTTCAGTTAATCGTAAATATTGAAACATGATATCAAAGATCTGAACCATTCATCTTCTTACATCCGTCAGATGATCATGTTTTCAAAAAAGAAAATTTTAAAAATAAAATTCAGTAAGAAGAATAAAGCGTAAATGACAATCGACGGTTAAATATAAATTTAAAGTTTATGAATTATAGTGTTGCATTTCGAAGCTGACCCCTTCATGAAAGTTGTAAAGTTTGTCACTATGAGTGATTGTATATTTTTTTTTTTTTTACACTTCTACAATAATTATTATTAATTTTATTAATTTTGCCCTCAAATAAAAAACATTATTCATGAAGGTTTGGAGGATTTTAAAAATCTAAACGATAATGTAAATGTAACCATTATCTACTCGTGGAGAAATAATGATGAATCACGAGTGTTTATATATTCTTTCACATTTTTCATACTTGTATGTATGTCTACTTAGTTCTTGCCTATACAAATACTATATTAGTTTATTTTAATTTTGGACAACATGTTAAGATTTATCCTAGTCATAATAAAAATAAATAATGACTAAAACTTTTTTTTTAAACTTATATAGAATAATAATACAAAACTATATATTTAATATAGAATATATTGTATATATTAATATGGTTATTATATTTTATAATAAATCCTTTAGTAATTAAACTTTAAAATTATCAAAATAATTTTTTTCTTAACGGGTTGAAATGAGTTACTCACGTATTACCCGCATGTATACCCATTAAGAACCCGATATTAATGGATTCTTAATGGGTCACCCGATAATGACCCGATAAGTTATCATGATGATCCGAAACCTGTTATTTTCATGTCAAGTAATCATGTCATGTCAGAAACTACCGGGTCCGATCATCAGACATGAAATCAAGATCAATTGAACATAAGAACGCATTTCGTGAACTTGAACTTACTACGACCTATCAATTAATCACAGAACACATGCGCATCAACTTTCACAAAATGGGTAGAATCATGGAAACCATAAAATATAAGACTTAAGGATACAACTAGGTTTCGATTCACATATATCAAACACGAATTAAAAACGGGCTTCCAAATAATCTTAACAATCATAAAACTTATCTATAGAATCAATCAAACAAAAAGCAAAGCAAAACAAAAGAAATAACAAGTTAGACTTGATTACCTTGGTAATGGGCTTCCTCTTCTTGTCGAGCTTCTCCTTCTTAGCCTTAACCCTCTCAGCCTCAGCCAACAGAGCCATTCTCCTAGCAGTCTTCGCATATGGATTCAACTTCAACAAAGTATTCAGATTCTTTAGTGGGTTCTTCTTCATTGGAGCCCTCTTCGCATCCTTCTTAATCGGCCTCACAACGCTCTGGACCTCGTCCGAGTTAATAATCCTACCCAGATCAGCATTCACCATCTTCGACCTCGGCAACACATACCCCTTCTTCTTCTCAGAAACCTTATCGAAGGATCCATAAATCGAATCCAGCTTTTCGAAAGCCGACTTGGTCCAGACCACAAACCGACCCAAATGCCCACCGGGAGCAAGCTTCAGCAGACTAAGCCTCTCCACATTGATAATATCGACACCAGGAATGTTCCTAAATGCCTTCACAAGCTTCGCCCCCTCAGTTCCGTACACAATCAACGGCCCCTTACGGTTGATGTACCTCCGATTCCTCATCTTCCCCTTTCCAGGTCGAATCGAATGGCTGTCCTTTGCCTTCTCGGCATCGGCGTAAGCCCCGATCTCCTTCAACACCTTCAGAGCCGCCGAGGTCTTCTCAACCCCCTCAATGGAGTCGTTAACGACCAGGGGCAATTCTGGAACAGTCTCTATTTTATGCCCGCGAGCCATAACCAGAGACGGGACTGCCGAAGCGGCAATGGCCGAAACGACCGCGTAGCGCTTCTGGTTGACGTTGACTCTCCGGTGCCAGCGGCGCCAGATCTTGGTAGGAGCGAACATGCGGCCACCACGGCACATGTTTCCGAAGGCTCCTTGGCCAGCGCGGTGAGTCCCACCTCCGGGAACACGTGGGATACGGGAGACGGCTCGCCCGGTTCCCCAGGACTCGGCGGAGGTCTGGTGGCCGGCTTTTCTGGACACGGCGTAGGGCTGGCGGCTGTTCTTGGAGATGTTGGAGTGGACGAAGGTGACGATGTCGGGCCGGATGGAGGCCTTCATGACATCAGGCAAGCAGACGATATGGCTCTGGTCGGTGGCCATGTCACCGTCCAGAGACTGGACGGTGACCAAGGGACGCACAGCGGCGGCGGCCATTTGGAATGGGACTCTGAGAAAATGGAGAGTGGGGGAGAGGGTATGTTCGATTTTAGGGCCGCAAGATGAGCTAAAGTTTTTGTGTTTGATTTGTACTTTTTATAGTGGAAACGTAGAAGTAGGGTTTCAGTTTCTACTTAGCTTTTGGGCTTAAAAAACGTTAAGTGGGCTGCCATGACATGAATGACCCAAACCCACGGAAGCAATGAGAGAGTTTAAAAGTCATGAAACATTTATTGCCCGTTTACTAATAATCAGATTAAA